ATATACATAACATTTTCTTCACAAACAATTTTCCTGTACAGATAACAACAAACAGCAAGTAGTCTTCGACTATGGTAAAACGATGTCGGCATACGACAAGGGCTTTGAAACGCTTTTATCAACCGATGCAAAACACTGGTTCTACCAGGGTCACCTGTGAGTACAACAGTTGTTGACGCAACAACTCGAATTGCTTCATACGTCCTACAAATTCCACGTAAACTTCGTCATTCTCATTAACCTTGGCATAGAATACAGAAGAACCAGTCAGTTGCCCCTCATCCGTCTACTTACTTGTTTACCCTTCACCCTAATTATAACCGCTGGTATGATCCGGATACTTGCTTAATATCCTCCAGTCAAGGGCGCAAGAGTGGAACATGAGCTACGAAAGTAAAGTGTCCAGAAGTCGACATGCTCATGGTTTTCAGAGACACTTCCGGTCAAAAGAGTTCGAAAGTAGAAGGCATCCATATTTTTTCGGTGGCACTTTGAAGGTGAAAAGGGCGATACGTTACGTGATTTTCCCTGACGGTATGACATACGCAGTGCCTGCAAAAATGAGACCTTTCGTTCCTAGTCAATACCCTGTGACTGAAAAATCATTAAATGAGTATATCTCAGGAAACCAGTCATGTCGACCTTTTTAACTGAATAACGCGATCGAAAAATACCGTCTTCTTAAAAGTGATTGCTGAAACTGAGCGAACAATTCGAGGGCTACGAATAGAATTGGTAGTTTCGTCTTTTGTTTCATAAGCCTGCTGTTTAGAAGGAACGTTTATTTCGATTATATTTTAAAAGCTGTGGTTAATATTAATAATTTAAGAGTGTTCTTATTTTGTACACAAGACGGTAAGAATAATCATCTTTGTTCTATTAAACGTTTCTCTCCGACTTACGACCACGTACTGTTCATCTTGTGTCAATGGTAATTACTGATACCCGGTACTCGTGAAATAAGTGGAACAAGTCCCAACAAAATGTCGGCGACTGTGTTCACAAATCGCACTTTTCATCGGTCAAAATACCAACCGCAAAGCCTTAAGAAATACTGGAACAGTTCTAAAATACATCATGGGTTTCTTATATCGTACAAAACTGGCAATGATCAGGTCTAGAATGGGCGCAATGTGCCAACCTGTAAGAAAATGTGAGTGAAATAATTTGGAAGGAGGGAAAATTTGAATATATTGGTCTATCTGAAGGTACGTCGACTATAGGACAGATGTCTGGAGGAACTGAGGAAAAGCATAAAAATCTGTCAGAATAACAGATTCAAACCAGGTACTTTGCGAAGACGAAGCCAGACGTGGGTACGGAAGGTGAAGAAAATAAAGGACTTTGGTGGTCACATTGTCTTCCGCATTATCATTCCATTCCCGGCACACAGCTTACGAGTTTATACAATATGTTACACATTAAATGCCTCGAATACCAACGGCATAGATTGACGTCGACCTGTACACACCTAGAATGTGACCTTATAACAGAGACAAGTAAATCAAGGTCGATAACATCATTTATTCACTGGAAAGCAATTTTATCCAAGCGTTCGTAATTGCAAACTGACAACCCAACATCAACAGACTATGTCCTAATTTATTTAACGACGTTGTTTGAAATACTTGGACTTATCTCTTGTAAAACTGCGATTCGACGTTTGTTGAAAATAAAATCGTAAAAGTGACTGCTTGATTAAATGAGACTGCAAGAAAAGAATGTGTCATTTTCAACAATAACAAAATCCGTATGTCAGAGGCACACAACCACAACTCCTAGTTACATATTTCCCATTGATTATTCCAATAAAATCATTTTAATGACATTTAATTGAACATAGCAGTAGCCTACTGCAACAAATCAATTTCGACTGTAATTTGGAAAAATGGCATAGAATGACAACCATGTGTTTGTATTAAAAATGTACCTTATTGTGAGTTATGATAATTTAACTCTGAGATAGAGATACATGCCTAAATAAAATTCAACAATATTTATATGAAAGCAATGTTGGTTCATACACGTCCGAATAACAAAATAATGTGTTTTCTGCTTGGACATTTGGGTGACATGTCAAAACAATAACAATGAGGTTTTAAAAATATGATGGATTCAAACTAACGCCTTGCACGACAAGTATTTTCTGAACAAAACACATAACACCGAAGTAAAACCAATTGATCTGTAACAATCTTACCCAACTTCCTCAGGCAAAATCAAGAAAATGTCTTCCTGATCATTCCAATGAAAGATTCTGTCACAGAGGTCTTCTTGCGATTACAGCATTTTATATCAAAATTCGAGTTAAACCAACACTTATTCCGTCATATTCCACACGCGGTATGACGATTTACAAATTCGGTAGAACTACAAGATCGGCAAGACTTCAAAACTTCGAGAGAACAGCGTATACATCCAACACCAACGGCCGTAGCAACTCGTCTGTTTAAATGAGTGCTTTCGGGACAGATGGCGTGCACGTCTACCAAACATCTTAAACAACAAAGACCACCCACTCACCGTAACCAACAGTGACTGAATTTCGTTAGTTCATAGCCATCAAAACTGTTACACTGAGCACATGATCAGTGAACTGAAGAAGCCTACGTGCGGGATCAGAACCATAAATATTCACAATTATTATAGCGTAAAGTAAAGTTGTCAATATATACTATATTCAAAATATAGCATATACTATAACGTATTGACAATAATTGTAAACGGGATACACGTGCATAATCCTTATTGGTTTTGTGCGGCATTTTCTGCTCACAAAGAGATGGGAGCAAGATTATCGTGAGTCTATAAGGAATACGTCTATGGTACAAATATTGCTGCTACGCGCTGACTCTTAAAGAAACAGGTAGTAGTAACGATTCGGGATAGTTCAGGACAGTATTAAGAGTCGGGATCTAATGAACACGATAATAAATTGTTTCTGCAAAACGCGGATTATTTATTCATGACAGGTGGCTTCTGAAATCCATTTATAGTCCACTTGTTTGGACGAAAGTTTAAAATTATATTTCAGGAGTAGGCTAACAGTAATAATAATTATGATGACGACAACAATAACATATTTATTTTCTTAGATTTTATCACTTTCCTGCTCTCTAAACAGAATAGTGTCCAATTACAGTCGAATGTTAAAGGTGAAATTTCAGGTTCTCACGGCGGAGAATATGAAGAGATGTTACACCGTGTAGTCAGCCCGGCTGAAGTTTACCGACCCTAACAACCCTGATGATGGAGGTAGCATGCACCTCTGAAAATTAGGTAAACTTCTGTCAGACTACATGGCGCAACACCCTATAAGACAGCCATCTTCTATTGTTATCGGTTTCCAAGTGCGTTAACAACTAAAAGTTTTAAAATGCGCCTATCCCCTTTGCTATATGGTTGTCTGTCTGTAAAGCGTACAAGTGGGCAACTTCTTAAAAGTAAAGAAGAACATGTTTCAAAGTGTTCAATTAATTGCATTAAAAATAAAATTCCTTAGAAAATAACAGTAACTTCCAATGTTTTTGAAACTCTTAAGACAAGACTTGAAGTTTACACAGATTGGTTAATGTCTTTGCAATAAATTGTCCAGGTAAGTTGTGTACGGTAACTACATTTCTTGTCTTATGAGCAAATGTACCAACCTCACGTTGACGTTAAGATTTGGGAGGCCGTGTGAAAGGTGCGCTTACAGTGTCATGCCTGGGACGCGTCCTGAATTATCCCAAAACACGTTCCGTTGCAACACCGTCGTCATAACAGCAACAATCTCATTATTCTTAGCATCAAACCTTTGCTATAAATTACGCAAATATACCAGGAACAGACCCCAACGCGTCTATTTCCGGCAGCTGTAGGCTAATTAGACAGGCGCGTAATTCTTTTCTCTTCCGTAAGGCCTCTCTCTCTCTCTCTCTCTCTCTCTTGTCCACAGTCCGAATCTTGTACACGTGACTGGCCAAGCTTTATACCCTTTCCCGTTTTCGGAATTTTTACTGCGAAATAATCAAAGGCTAGACATTTCCATCCAAACTTCAGAAATGACAAAGGACAGACCTATTCATTTCCTTGATTCAGAAACACAAATGGCCAGCATATACAATAATTCAATGACAGGCAAATTTTGCGAAAATCCCTCTAAGGAAAGCTTTCACTCGGAATATGAATCCTTCAATAACAATAGACATGTCTACTGCGTTTTATTAATCTGTGTGAAACATCTACATGTCGGAACAAAAAGAGAAAGTGATAGTTGTTGCTTAATACGCCATTTTTCATCAGAGTCTCAGCCTGTATGTTGGTCCCAGACCTGCTGCGCACATACGATTTCTTCAATTTCACACCCCGGGACTGCTCCGTACCTCCAGAAATTAGCTACGGATTGGAAGACGGGATCCTGTTTCCGGTGAGGATTATGACGTGATACCCACTTAGCCGCCTATCCAATGGGTATATACCGAGGGCTCTTTCTTCGGTGGTAGAGCAGGCGGAGCGTGAAGATAAACCACTCACTTGCAACGAGTGTGGGGGTTAAGGTGCGCCGAGCTTCACCTCCAATGCCACGTGTTTTCATGGTTGATGCACTGCTTGAAATGGATACGGCCGTAATTTCATCTGTTCTGTCGCGGGATGAACACTTGTATCAGACAAACATTTTGCTACGAGTCCGATTATTTATAAAGTTTGGCACTTCCTTGTCTAGACACACAATTCTAGATGATTCACGGCCAAAATAAAACGATTACATGCGAATTAGGTTAGAGAATAAACACATATTCTGCTCATGAATACACCATATTCGCATCTGCGCAGCTTTTGCGTAACAGGCGTCAGCATTGACCTTGACTCGAATATCACTCGGGAGGTTGGGAGAGTTTTAAACGGGGATGGACCTGCTTCTGGTTTCACTTTTATGCTGTACCTACGTGAGTGCTTTAAATAACAACTCTGTATTAGCCTGCATGCCTGGGATTTGATGATATGAATCTGAAGCTTACCTGTGAATATGTGTCCAAAGTCACTTTCTCAGCAGCATGGCTCAAGAAGTTGGCTGGTACGAAGCCCACAGCATCAGTCTTCGCCGCCCGAACGGCCCACCAGAAC